AAAGTATTTGAGTCTAGGTGCTCGAGGCACAAACCAAGCCATCATAAGGCAAACAGCCTGATCGGTCCAAATTGGCTGCCGACGACTTCCTTAATTGTAGATAAACCAGGAACCAGCCAAATCCAAAAAGCAGCAACCAATTATCATAAATCCAATTCTATATGTGTCCTTAAAATCCACAAATGGCAGCAGAGACACGTCATTGAGTCTTACAATTAGATTAGATATCCAGCTGCGTGCATGCCAACAAGGCAAATTGGCTCACCTAAAGCCTGTCTTCTCTTCAAAGAAATGTTATGACTTTTAACATCAGCAGATTTTAATTTAATTTTGTTTTTATCCATTTATAATAAAAACTGCAATGTTTTCATTCCAGACTATACCAGTGGCTCCAGGCCCATCATCCCTCTCTCAGATGGAGCTTCCAGACTCAGGGCTGGCCTATCCCATATGGGCCCAGCCTCTCACCACCATATCTACCATATCCAATCCAGGAGTTCATTTTTCACCAGGTTCTGCAGCTCTGCCTGCTTCTCCTCTGGTCCACATGCCCTTGTCCATGTCTTTAACCACAATGATTCCTCAAATGGAAGCCCAGGTGGTAGATCCTCAGTCCCACCTTGTGGAGCTCCCACAACAGTTAGAAGACCAGCTTGACCCTGAACCCCAAGACCAGTCTCTGGATGAAGATCTGGAGGTTGAGCCAGAATCACCAAACCTGCTAGACAAACTTCTGGAGGATCAGAAAAGACATGGTGAAGTTGAGGACAAAGACTCATACACCAGCTCCATCTTTTTGCCAAATGTCTGAAAACAAATGTTAAAATTTAGCAGCAACAAGATTTTCTCAGTGAATTTGTTCTGGGATAGATTTTTGGCATAGTGTAAATTTTGATTTCATATTTATATCAAGATGTGTGTTTTGCTGGCCAGTTTTGTATCTGTGACTAGAGACATTTCTCAATCAAGGTGAAATTATTATTTAAACTATGTCCTCACATGCAAGTTGAATGGTTTTTTTTGTTTGTTTTTTGTTTGCCAGAGACAAACACGTCAAATCACTAATTGACATTTTTTTTGTATGATGTGTAAGAGTTCTGTTTAGATATAAAGGCCTTGAAGGAATGCATATCACCCAACATCTTTAATGCCAGAGATTTAGACCAAGATCATCTTATGTTGAGAAATGACAGAGTTGAAATCACTGAAGTCAAATCTTGAAAAACTGTTTTGTACAATTTCAGACAATATTTTGAGATGCCATGCTCAAAATGCACATTGTGAGCTAATACCACATCCAAATTTAATTCATTAGGTGTAAAATTGATGGAGTTATAGTCAATTTTGTGTTTGTTAATGTTGCTTTACCATAGCAGCCATCTTAATTTTAATTTGCTCCTAATGTAAGTAAGCTGTAGATGTAAGTCCCAAGATTACTTTATGGAAATACAATTGAAGTTTGTTCAGTAGTTCATTGGGTGAATTATAGCAACTGTATTTTGGTCATAGTTGGCTTTGGTCACTATCAATTCAGACGACTCCAAAAGTTGTTTATGTCTAACCAATTATTACTTTGTGCAAGTTTCAATTATATGTCCAGTTGTTCAGGACTTTTTTTTTTCTAAGAGACAGACAAATAAACACATACAGACATGTGCAAAACCATTACTGTTGCTTTCACCTATCAGTAAGCAATAAAAATGTTTTTGAATGACACATGTTCATCTTCATTTTTTGATCTTCATGGTGATGAACACTGCCTCCTACAGCTGCATGCCGCTCTGCGTACTCTCCATGAAGGTGTAACAAAACTCATTCAGCCAAGATATTTAAATAAGCAAAAAGGGAAAACTCAACATCTAGTTTGTAAAGTAACATGATTAATAATTGCTGGGTAGTATGTGATGCATTCCTTTTACTATAATGAATATCAGCTTTTTATCAAGCTGTTGTTTTTTAGGTCCCTCCTCTCCTCTTTTTAAATTTTATGTTTCCCCTTCATGACGGTTTTTGGTGTCTAATGAAGAAAACAAGAAGGTAAGTATAAAATATGTTATCAGTTAAGGAACAGTATCACATGATGCATATAAACATTTAATAAAGTGTTCATAACACACCTATCATAACACAGCAAATATAAAGTGTACCCGCAAACATCCACAGCTACAAAACTAAGACGTATTTTACTGTTCCAGTTCTGTATAATGCTTTGATTTTTCTTCTTAATATAAAATGTTCACTCTAAATCTTCTGCTTTTTTCAGCTTCTCCCTCTTCAGGGGTCGCCACAGCGAGTCATCCTCCTCCGTCTCACTCTGTCCTCTACATCCTCTGTCCTCACTCCAACTACCTCCATGTCCTCTCTTACTGCATCCATATATCTTTTTCCAGCTGCATTTCTAACATCCTGCCCACTGTCCCTCCTCTGGACATGTCCAAACCACTGTCCCTCTTCTGGACATGTCCAAACCATCTCAGTCTGGTCTCTCTAATTTTATCTCCCAGTTATTCAACTTGTGCTGTACCTCTGATGATCTCATTCCTAATCTTATCCACCCTTGTCACTCCTAAGGAAAACTTCAACATCTTCATTTCTGCCACTTCCAGTTCTTTCTCCTGTCTTTTTGTCAATTCCACTGTCTCCAGACCATACAATATAGCTGGTGTCACCGCTGTCTTGCAAACTTTTCCTTTGACCTTTGCTGACACACTTGTGTCACAAATCACTCCTGAAACTTTTCTCCATCCACTCAATCCTGCCTAGAATTTTTTTTCACCTTTTTACCACAATCCCCATTTTCCAGGACAGTGGGCCCCAAGTAATTGAAGTCCTGCACCTTTGTGACCTCTGCTCCTTGTAGTCTCACTGTTCCACCAGCCTCCCTCTCATTCACACACATGCAAACTGTCTTACTAAGGCTGACTTTCATTCCTCTTCTTTCAAGCGCATACCTCCACCTCTCCAAATTCTCTTCCACCTTTTCCCTGTTCTCACTACAGATCACAATGTCATCTGCAAACATCATAGTCCACAGGGATTCCTGCCTGACCTCATCTGTTAGTCGGTCCATCACCAGAGCAAACGAGAAGGGGCTCAGAGCCGATCCTTGATGCAATCCCATCTCCACCTTGAAGATATGTGTCACTCTTACAGCACATCTCACCACTGTCCTGCTGTCCTCATACATGTCCTGTATCAGTCTAACATACTTCTCTTCCACTCCAGAGTTCCCCATACATTACCATACCTCCTTCCCTGGCACCCTGTCATATGCTTTTTCTAAACCCACAAAGACACAATGGAGTTCTTTCTGACTTTCTCTGTATTTCTCCATGAGCATCCTCAAACCAAAGATGGCATCTGTGGTGCTGGTTTTTTTGGCATGAAATCATATTGCTGCTCACAGTCACCTCTTGTCTCATTTTTGCTCCACAACTCTCTTCGTCTTCATTGTGTGACTCATAAACTTAATTCACCTGTAGTTGTTACAACTCTGTACATCACCTTTGTTCTTAAAAATGGGCACCAGCCCACTCCATTCCTCAGGCATTTTTTCACCGTCAAATATGCCATTGAATATTTGAGTAAAAAACGTCACTGCCATCTCTCCAAGACATTTCCAAACCTCCACTGGTATGTCATCAGGTCCTACTGCCTTCCCCTTCTTCATTCTTTTCAGAGATTACCAGACTTTACCCTTGCTTATCCCACTTCCTGGTCCACAGTTTCTATGACCTCTACTCTTCTTTCTCTTCATTAATTAACTACTCAAAGTCCTCCTCCCATCTTCTCATCACACTCTCCTCACTTGTTAGAACGTTGCCATTCCTATTTTTAACAAGCCTAACCTGCTTCATATCCTTTCCAGCCTGATCCCCTTGTCTCGCCATTCGGTACAAGTCTTTCTCGACTTCTTTAGTGTCCAGCCTTCCATACAACTTATCATGCACCTTTTGATTTGCCTTAGTTACTTCCCTCTTTGCTCTACATTCCATCTCCTTATATTCCTGTCTCCTCTCTTCAGTCCTCTCACTGTCAAATTTCTTCTTGGCTAACCTCTTTTTTGAATAGTTTCCTGCACTACACTATTCCATCACCAGGTTTCCTTATCATTCATTTTCTGACCAGATGACACACCAAGTACCTTCCTACCTGTCTCTCTAATTACTGTTGCTGTAGTAGCCCAGTCATTTGGAAGTTCTTTCTTACAACCCAGAGCCGTTAACAGTTTATCTCTGAATTTCTCACAACATTCTTCCTTCTTCAGCTTCGACCATTTGGTCTTTTTCTCTGAGTTGACACTTTTTCCTCTTCTTCACAACAACAGTCATTCTACACACAACCATCCGATACAATCTGGCCACATTCTCTCCTGCCACAACCTTACAGTCCTCAATCTCTCTCAAGTTTCATCTTCTACACAGAATGTAGTCGACATGAGTACTCCTTCCTCCACTCTATAGGTCACTTTATGCCCCCCGCTATTTTGGAAATAAGTATTCACTACAGCCTTTTCCTCTCTCGGCAAAATCCTCCACCATCTGTCCTTCCTGGTTTATTTCCTTGACACCAAACCTATCCATCACTTCCTCATCCCCTCTGTTTCCTTCACCAACATGTCCATTCAGGTCTGCTCTGATCACCACTCTCTCCTCCCTGGGAATACTCTCTATCACTTCATCTAGGTCCTTCCAAAATGCATCTTTCACCTTAACATCACATTAAACCTGTGGAGCATAACCACTGACAACATTTAACATCAGACCTTCTACTTCTACCTTAAGGCACATCACTCTATTTGAAACTCTTTTCACCTCTTCTACAATCTTTGCCAACTCCTCCTTCAGGACCACATCTATTCCATTTCTCTTTCTATCCATACCATGGTAAAACAGTTTGAACCCTGCTCCAATGCTGCAAGCCTTGATGCCCTTCCACTTGGACACATAAAACATCTACCTTTTATCTCTGCATCATGCCAGCCAATTATTCACCTTTGCATGTCATTGTCTTCACATTTAGAGTTGCAACCCTCAGTCCTACATTCTTGACTTTCCTCTTCTCTCTGTCTCCTGACACATTTCCCTCCTTGTGATCTTCGACTAATAGTAGTTAAATTTCCATTGGCACCTTGTCTGTCAACAGCACCAGTGGCGGCCGTTGTTAACCCAGGCCTTGACTGATCCAGTATGGTTTCAATTTGATAAACTCGCATTATAGTTTTGGCAAAAGTGTTTTATGTTGAATGCCGTTCCTGACACAACCCTCACCATTTACCCGGGCTTGGGACTGGCACAAGAGATACACTGGCTTGTATCCCAACCGAATTCGGTGTTCAATGACTCAGAGAGCCGGTCGGGACCGTCCAAAAATATATTTTGGTCCAGGACCGGCTGCTCCCACCCCACCGGTCACTCTGAGCGCACCCTGCTGGCCAGGTGACCCCTCGAGCCGGGGAGTCGTCGCACGAAGGTCCGGTGTTTTTTCTCTCTCTCTCTGGACCTCAACAAACTCTTATCTGGACCTTTGTGGTTCTACCTGGTTCCGACAAAAATCACCAGGTGGTATTTTGCTGGTTTTCTGCTGGACTGGCCCTCGTGGTGTCTTCATAGGTGTGGGGGAAATGTACCTGTGACCCTCGAATTGGACCAGAACTGAACCGAGGTGGCTGTGGGGATTTTGTCTTCAACAGAGCCGGTCTCAGCTTCAGTGAGCAGCCCGTTACTTTTACCGAAGGACTGTCCACCTCCGTGGAATCGCTGTTTTCACCTGGAGGAGACGCTCCGGTGCTTTGAAGTGCCACCGGACCGG